AAGGTCAGGCCCTGTTGAGGAGCAGAGCTCTGCCCAAAACACTCCAGAATTCCAGAATTTTATGTGTACCCTACATTGCTGATTTACCCAAGGACAGCTGAGGTCCCCTGCTAGTCAGTGATAATAAACAACAGGGCTTTCCTCGAGAGAAGTTGCTGAACTGAGCCAGGAAAAAGTAAGTTTTTCAAATCTGAAAAGCACAAAGGTGGTGTCCAGGTGACAGGATCTGCAGCCTGCCCTTGGAACCAGAGTGGTTCCTAGTGGGCATGGGAAGGGGATGAAGCAGGGTCACCAGGGATCACTGTGGCTGTTGGAGCTGTGACCTTATCGAGAAAGTAGTAGGAGCCATGGGAGGGTGATCAGCTGGGCAGTGGCCCAGACGCAGTTAGAAGTGTGCTCTCTCCTTCCCTGTCTGAAGCTACCCCACAGCCACAGTGCTCCCCTCCCCCCCAGCCCAGGCAAAGAGAAAGGGTTTCTGGGCTCCTGGAGTCTTTACCAAAGTATCCCTCCTGAAATTCCTATATGAGTGGTTCATCAGGAGAGTGATACACAGGACAGGAGGACCTTCACAGCTCAGGCAGGGCCTGATTCCTCCTCCTGCTGGCCACCAGGGCAGAGCCTCTGTCCCTCCCCTGACCCCCACAGCAGAGCCCCCCCCCACACACACACTCACTCCAAATTTGAAAGTGTTTGTGGCTCTCATCACACACTGGCAGGCTCATTATAAAATAATTGAACACTTGTAACAGTTTTTCTCCTCAAGGATCCCAATTAAGACATCACTTTACGCTCTTCGCCCTGAAGAGCAGCGTGGGCCCCTCCCCTCACATGCTGGGCTGGCAGTGGCTAAAAATACCCTCTGCTGCTCCCTCTTCCGAAGTGCCTTGCCTGTCGCCTCCTGTCCCCAACCTGGGTAGCCCCCCTCCCTCCCAGAAGGATCTCTGAGCCTCAGTTTCTTCATCTAGGAAACCAGGACTACAATGGTGCCCTCCCATCAAGTTTTCAGGAGGAGCAACACCGTGGCACGTGGCAGGCACTGTCCCTAGGACACCGGGGCATGGGTGGCCAGTGGGATGGTAGTGTGGGGAGTTTGGGTGGGCACAGGGACAGAGCAGGTCCTCAGAGACCCTAGCTCCTCACACCAGGAGTCTGTGGGGCTTTTTTTTTTTTTTTTTTGGCACCAGAGATCGAACTTGGGTCCTTGCGCTTGCGCAGCAGGCGGCAAAACCACTGAGCTAAATCCCTGGCCCTATGGGTCTTCTTAATAAGAGAATCTCATTCCAAGATTCATGAGGATTCTAATTCCTAAGGACTCAGGGTCCAAGCAGATCTAGCTCTATCCCCTTGCCTCCACCTGCAGCGGGTCCAAGCCCCATCATCACTGGCCCTGGGGCAGGAAGCTGCAGCTCCTTGGGATTCCAAGGCCTCCCTTTCACTGTGCACATTGCCCAGGGAGCCCTGAGACCCAGACTGGATCTGCTGTCCGTCCCTCGGGCTCTTTGCACAACAGTAAGAATCCAGCTCCTGCTGGACATGGTGGCTTAAGCCTGTAATTCCAGCATTCCGGAAGGCTGAGGTAGAAGGACTTAGAGTTCATGGCCAGCCAGGACAACTTAGTGAGACCCTGCCTCAAAAACACAAGAAACAAAAACAGCAACAAGAACCCTCACCTTCCCCCATCTGGACCTGTGACGGGACCCATGCCTGTGATGTTTGCCCTCCCTGGCCACCGAGCAGAGCCTTCCCACCATCAAGCCTCAGCTCAAAGGGCTCCTCCTCAGAGGGCACTCCCCCGCCCACCAGACTACAGTGACCACCCATCCCTGCCTCTGGCGACACCCTTTCAGAATTTATTCTTTTACAGGTTCGTTGCGGTCTCCCCCATCAGAATGTTTCTTTTGCTGCTATATCCAAGACCTGGCAAACACTAGGTACAAATATTTGTTCATGAATGAATACGTTTTGTAATTAGGAGAGCCTAACATCTTTGCCCACTAGCCCCAGGTCTGATACTTTATTGGCTCAATGAATGATTGTTGACTGACCACTCTGATACAGCTCTTCCTGCATAGAAGGCAATTCACATGCTCTAGGGGAGAGAGCATACAACCTCTCTTGGGCAAAGGTGACAGATATACCCTCTGGCTGATTGGCTGGCCCCATGGCCCACACCCCAGGGAGACTGGTGAGGCCCTACTCACACTGCCAGGCTTCCCTTCCAAAACCTGACTCTCACCTTCTGCAGCCTACAAGGGTCAGCCCAGCCCTGCACAGGGAAAGGGACCCTCTGAGGCCTGAGGGCTGGTGGTAGGGGCAGGAGCTCTGCCAGGAAGTGGAGGGCAGTTCCTGAGCCTGGAGTGGGGACAGGGGTGGGGGTGGGGCTAATGGCTGCTAATGGCCTGCAGCTGAGCCCATGACCCTGGCTCCCCAGGGTCTAGTAACAGTACTAATGGAGCTGCCCTCCTGCAGCAGGCCTTCTCTCCCAGGCCAGGGTCATCAGGCTAAGTGTGTAAGTGTCAGGGAGGAGGAAGAGTGTGTACCCTCTTCTACAATCCCCACCTCCCCTGCTCCAGAACCTCTGCCTCCCAGGCACTAGAGGCAGCTCTTAGGGAGCCTAGCACAGAGCTTGGAATGTGAGGGAGGATATCACCACTGCATTACTCATTATAGATAGGGAAACTGAGGCCCAGGCATGAACCTGATCGCATTCACCTCCCCTCCTACCACCCCCTTGCTCCTGGCTCCTCTCTTCTCTCTGCACTCAGGCCCCAGTCAGAAACCTCAGCTTCCACCGCAGAAAGAGGGAGAGGGGTTGGGTAAGGCATCCCTTGCCCCAACAGGAACAGCCTGCTTGACCACTCAGATTGACCACTGCAGCAAGAGCAGCAAAGGGAGAAACAGGATAGCACAGCAGGACCTTGTAAGCCTGGCTACTGTGAAGTTTGGGCTTGGATCTATCAGCAGTGAGGGACAAGAAGGGAGCTTGTGATGAGAAGGTGGGGTCAGAGGCTAGTAGTCTCTGGATGCAGAACATTAATGCAGAGGCTGCTGAAGAAAGAAAACTAAGGGATGAGTGGACAGAGGTGAGTGAACGTGTGGGGACATGGACAGTGGTTATGAGGGACAGAGATGGATGGGTGAAGGAATGAATGTATGGATGAGTGGATGAGTAGATGGGTGAATTGATAGATGGATAGGTGAACAGATGGGTGGGTGGATGGAGAGAGGTGTGGATGGATGGATGGTTACATGGATACATTGGTAGATGGATGAAAGGATGAGTAGCTAGATGAACAAATAGACTCAGAGGGATGGACGGATGGACAAGTGGGTGGAGGAGGAGTGCATAACAAATATGTTATATTTATCTTCATACCAATGTAGTCATAGAATGTAATTTTTAGGATACTTCGTGGAGGAAGAGATTTATAAGGGCAGTAGTTCTCTGGGTGGCTGGGAGTCATACTGTGTCTCCAGGGATGGCCTGGAAGCCCTGTTTTCTTGACTTCCTCTCTCCAGCCTGGCTTAGCCAAGAGGTTTCGATTGCCTTCCCTCCAGCCCTGTGCTCAGGCCATTTCTTGTGCCTGGAACACGCTCTCTAGAACCCAACCTCCCACCCTTTCCTCCTCCAGGAAGCTTTTGCATACTAAGCTGAGTTCCTGCAGGGACTTGGTCTCCACCCAGACAGTGAGCCTTCGCCCCATTTTCTCTCCACAGGGACATGAGGAGCCTGAGGTATAGCTAGTAACCAGCCCCTGCTCAGTGGGTGGAGCCTTACTCAGCTTCCTGCTCAAAGAGAGTGACCCTTGGCTTCTCAGGATGCACAAGGGGCAGAAGGCAAAGCCTCCTGGGGACAGAGCAGGGACCCCTGCAGAGATAGCAATAGCAATCAAAAGATTCCCAACATGAACAAAAGTACACTTGGATATCCAAGATGATATGGCCCCTTCCCAGTTCTGTGACCTTGGAGAACTTCTTTAACCTCTCTGAGCCTGAATTTTTTTCACCTGAAGAATAAGATTCATGATCACTCAACCAGGTGTGGAGGAGGACCATGGTTAACAGACACACTCAGGGGCCCATGGAAATATCCATAATTATCATTATCATGTTCTCTTCCCCAATAGTTTCTTGGCTTCCCTGGCAGGAGGGTCCAAGGAAGGAGCTAGAGCTGAGGAAGTCTGGTGGGTGAGTCAGCTTTCTGTCACTGTGACAGAATATTTGAGATAATGAGTTTAAAAGAAGGAAGGATTTGTTTTGGTTCATGGTTTCAGAACTTTCAATCCATAGTCACTTGGCCCTGTTGCTTTAGGCTTGTGCAGTGCACAACAGAAGAGACCTGTTCAGTTCATGGCTGCCAGGAAGAAGGAGAAAGAGAAGGAGGAGGAGGAAGAGGAGGAGGAGGAGGAGATGAAGAAGAAGAAGAAGAGGAAAAAGAAGAGGAGGAGGAGGAAGAGGAGGAGATGAAGGAGAGAAGGAGATGAAGGAGAAGGAGGAGAAGGAGAAGAAGGAGAGCACAGGAATGACCAAAGGAGAGAAAAAAAAAGTCCTGGACTTCTGCAGCTGATGCCCCAAGATAGGAGTCAAAACATAAAAGGGATGTTTAAGAGGGATGGCATAGCTGGTGCAGGTGGAGGGAGTGTGCCCCGGGAGGGGGCAGCACCATGTGCAAAGGCCGGCCGGGAGACAGGACCCAGAGGAAAGAGGCTCTGGGAAGTAGAGCACTGCCTCAGAGGAGAGAGGGCACTGGGCCACATGGTGAGGCGTGCTAGCCACAGTGTGGAGCTTGGATTTATTTAATTTTTTGTGGTTCTGGGATTCAAAATCGGGGCCTTGCACATGATAGGCAAGCACACTATCACTGAGCTACACCCCCGTCTTTTTTATTTCCTTTTGAGACAGAGTCTTACTAAGTTGCCCAAGGTAAGTTCAAATTTGTGATCTTACCGCCTCAGCCTCCCTAGTAGCTGGGATTATAGGCATGCACCGCCTCATCTGGCCCTGGATTTTATTTTTTGTGCCATGGGGAGAAGTTGACAAGTTTTAAGCGGAGATATAATGGTCTAGCTCAGTGATGGTGAACCTTTTAGAGGCTTCAATAATACAAACAGCCCACTGCTGCACATATGTCATAAGTTCACCACCCCTGGTCTATTTGGTTTGGTTTGGTTGTTTTAATTGAGTTAGCATTTACATAAAAAGTTAGCCATTCTAAATAAGACAATTAAGTGGCATTTAGTATATGTGCAATGTTGGGCAAACACATCTTTATCTAGTTTCAAAACGTTTCATCACCCCAAAAGAAAGTACATTTCCTCTAGCCTGTTCTTGGCACACAGTAGGGACCCAATAAGTGTTATAGAACAGGGAAGGCAGAGAGGGGGTTTAAAGACTGAAAATCATTGAGTAGGGAACTGACAACTATTCAATCATCCAAGCCAATCATTGAGCCAATGTTTGTTGAGCACACACTATGTGCCAAGCACCATTCAGGTCATTGGGGATGGACAAGTCCTCGTCCTCTTGGAGACCACCTACAGAGAGAAAGACACATTATAAATGTGACAGTGCATCCTTGGAAAACTGGACAAATCAGGCAGTGGCTGTAGTTGGGGCCTGGCAGGCTGGGAGAGGACAAGGCAGGACACGGCCCAGGGGACCAGCTGGCACAGCACAAGCTTCCCACTCCTGCTCGGAGAACACCCTTCTCTCACAGATGGCAAGACTGAGGCTTGGGGTGAGTGCCTGTTCAGTCTCGCAGCCCCTCCTGCTTCCGCCTGGTCTAGGCTGTGGAGACCCATGTATAGCTTCCTCCTGGGCAGCTCTCAGACAACGACTGACCTGTGCCCAGTGTGGCACTGTCAGGGTGATTGGGACAGCATCTCCTCCAACCACACCAGCTTCCTCCTCATCCCTAGGAAAGGTTTCCTCCAGCACTGGCTGCCCAGAGATGGAGCGCCACCAAGGTCACACAACAGGAATGTCCAGGCAGAGACAAAACCCAGGGAATGACAATCCCCCTGCCAACCTGCCTTAGCAGCTGCACAGGAGGAAGGAAGCCCTGGTCCTCTGCAACTGTGGGAACCCATCCATGCCTCTCTGAGTCTCCATTTATCCAAGCACTCCATGGGAACAGATACATGGCATCTCCGCTCCTTCTGGCCAGTCAACCAAGCCACAGTGAGTGCCCCCTGGCCCAGGCAGGGAGAAGGCCTGAATAGGGGGAGGTGAGGCCAAGCCCAAGCCCAAAATAGCCTGGTTGGCAGGATGATGGAGGCAGTGCCTGGCTGGGTGGCAGGAGCCCGTAATTGATCGCTCTGCACTGGCCATGAATAAAACATTGGCCTCCACTCCATTCTGGGTTCATTATTTGCTAAGGGGGACAAGTCTCATTTGTTAGGGTCACCTCTGCCCACCTCCTCCTTCTGCAGATAGAGAAGACCCTGCCCCTTAGCCCTCCCTCCACTTTCTACTCTCTTGGCTCCCTGGTGTCCAGAGGACACACAAAGCTCTGAGCAACATGGCCGTTCACTATCTCCTCCTGACAAGCTGGCATCCCTCCTGCTCCCTAAGTCAGCTTTGATTTCACATCTCCCTGCCTTCACCTGCACTGCTCCATCTGCCTAAGTGTCCTTCCTTCTCACTCCCCTGGGGAAATCCTCCCCCGCCTGAGTCCCAAGGAAGTACACCTTTCGGGGAGCTCAGCCTGGGACTTGAGGGGCCCTTGCCCACCCTGAGCATGGTTAGTGCTATCTCCTGTTATGTGACAACTCCCTACTCAGACTGCCACTAACCCTCTACCCCCAGCCTACTCTGCCCTGCTCTAGTGCAAACGAAACTCCATCTTCAGTGCCTGGAGGAACGCTTTCCACCTGCCACATTGTCAAGGGCCCCGGTGAGGCTAAGCTGTGGACCCCATATTCCACACTGACTGGGTGGCCACCATGGGGGGCTGCTAAGCAAATCTGCCAGAAGTGACCAGCTCACAGGGCCCAGATATACACAGTGGGCTGACACCCAGTCTACACTACAACATGGTACAGAGTGAAGACAAAGGCGGCTCAGTGGCTCCAAGTGACACACCTCAGGATGTATCAGCTTAGAAAGAAGCAGGAGCAGGTTCACATACACTGCCTCTGTCTAAAACAAGAGCCACAGGAAAGCTTTCACAGCTGTGCTGTGTGTGGAACACCCAGGAGGACCATGGAAATTCAGTGGTTGTCTGAGGAGAAACAGGTGGGGATGAGGACAGGAGGGGAGCGTGTACTCTATGCCCTGACTCGACTCAAAGTTTGAACCTTGTGCATATAGTGTCCATTAAAATGAAGCCCAAACCCGCTGTCCTACTGAGCCAGCCTTTTATGACAAAACACAAAGCCTGAAAAAACCATTAGGAAGCATGGGGGTCATCACCTCAGGAATGCCACGGCAACATTGTCCTTATGGTTGAGCCATGACAATGGTCCTACAGCCAGCATACACCAGTGGGGCCTGCAGCACCCATTCAGCCCTCCACATGAAAGGCACCTTGGAAGCCCTGGGTGCAGAAAAGTGGCAGTATGGGCTCAGCATGTAGAGAGGGGACCAAGAGAAGTGCCCAGGTATCAGCAAGGCACAGCACAATGGGTTATGGTCTTTCCTTGCTGCTGTCCTGGTGTTTTTCAGATGTGTATTGCTGGTGAGGCAAAGGGACTTCCTGTCATGTAGAGTCAGGGACCCCATGACCCCTGTCCTCTCAGCATGGCCTAGCTGCATGAGGTGTAAGTACCAGTGTGTGTGGGTGGGTGGGGGCTATGCAAGTACAGTCGGCCTTCCATATCTACCTATTCAACGAACAGATCAAAAATAATTCAGAAAGAAATTCCAGAAAGTTAGCAAAACTTGAATTTGCCTGGGTGCCGAGCACCATGCTGATTCTACCCACATGCTCCAAGTGATGGGTGGACACTCCCCACGGTGGCTTCCGGCATCCTGCAGACCTCCTCTCTCCCGCACACTGCTAAGCATGTCGGCCTTCCCTCTCACTTGTGTACTGTGTAATTAGGCCTCTGATAGTTGCATCTGTGCTGAACACATACAAGCTTTTTTTCTTGTCATTATTCCCTAAACAATGCAGTGTAACAACTATTTACAGAGCACTTACATTGTAGAAAGTATTAGGAGTAATCTAGAGATGATTTAGAGAATATGGGAGGATGTGCATTGGTCATACGCAAATACTATGCCATTTATATAAGGGACTTGAGCATCCCTGGATCTGAAGGACAACCCACAATGAAGAATGACCATTTGTATCTCAAAATGTATCTGTATTTGCATGTTTCTGTGTGCATCTATGCAGGTGCAGAGATGTATGTTGTCTCTACATATCTGTGTTTTTGCATGTGTGTGTGTATACTGTTTAAGTATCTGGGTGTGTTCTCCCTCCTGGATGTCCCTGGCACAGGCCTTGGCTCCAAGAGAAATGCTACGTGGCACCCCCAGCCTTCTCTGGCATTGGCCTGTCTGAAGCCTACCCCTTGACTCCCATTAATTGCCCACCAGGATCAGAGACAGGGGGACCCTGCCTCCCAGCCCCTGACCCTCAGAAGCACATGTTGGCTAAGCCACATGGTCGCACCCCACAAAGGGAAGTAAGTAGTGGAGACCACTGACAGAAACAAGGACATGTCACCCCACCCCGACGTACAGCCCCTCCTTCCACAGCCAGGCCCTCTCAGGACTCCTCCTCCCCAGGACTCAGTGGATCTCGCAGGCCTGGGCCTCTTCTGTGCTGCCCTCCCACACTGCCTCAGCATGGTCTTGCTTTCCGCATGGGTGGAAGAGGCACATTCAAATTGAGCCCTCAGGGCCCGCTTGGCCCCCATATCCCAAGCTGTTGGTAAGGAAGGGTAAGCAGAAGGAGTGAGGGCCTGGGAGGGGGTGGAGGCAAGCATAGCCAGGGGCAGATGCTAGGTGACTGCAGCCAAGTGAGTCGGCCTCTCTGGGCTGTCTTTCCCAGAGTGTAGATAGCAGGACTCTGTGAGTGCACAGTCTGGGACATCCCAGGATTCCTGGAGCTACTGGTATAAGACCCTGCCAGGGGGCTTCTCAACCACAGATCCAGGATGCAGAGTTGAAGCCACAAAACAGATCTTCTAATGAAGTACAGTGCTACATGCCTGTAACCCCAGCTACTTGGGAGGCTAAGAAGGAGGATCTCAAATTCAAGTTCAGCCTGGGAAAGCCAACTGGAAGTCTCACTGTGATCCTCCCAACCCATCTCTCTGTGCAAACCTTGATCTGAGCCCCACCAGCCCTCGTCACTTCCTTTCCCAGCATCCCTTGCCCTCTAGCTTCTGAACTTGGAGGTCAGAAAGAGAATATGTCTCTCCCTCTAACTCTGCCATGAAGATTTCCAAGAATGAAGACTATAGTTTTTGGTGTTTCCATTTCTTGTGAGAGGCTGGAAATGTGGACTTTGGGTGTAAAAATAAAACTCAAGATTTTAAAAGATTGGCCACTAGTTCAAAATTTAAAATTTTCCTGACAGCTAACTCACCAAAGGGCAAACTGACTGTGTCTGCAGGTTGAATGTAGCCTATGTTCTCTGCCAGTTCTTAGGCAATTCACTTGAAGGAGCAGAGCACTGCTGATCCCAGGGCCTTTGTGTTTGACTGCCAGGGAAGCTCTACCTCCAAGCATTTCACTTTCTCAAGGTGTCTGGTCAAATGTATTCTCCTTCAAGAGGCTTCCCCTGACCTCCTCCTTGCCATCACTCTGTTCCTCACTTCCTTGGGGGGTTTACCTCCACCTGACATTTTCATATTGTCTGTTGCCATGAAGAGAACAGTGCACCACAAGGGCAGGATTTCTGTCCTGAGCCTCCCTGCTGAGACTGGATTAGACACTGGATCAACATTTGTCAGATAGGTTGTTCAGCACCTCAAGATCCTGGGACATGGGTTTGGAGACATCCAGGATCCAGGACTACAGAATACAGTGTCATTGGGCTGGGGCCTGCTCCAAGGAGGTGGAGTGGACCTCTGGCAGGAGGCAGATGAGCTGGTTCCGATCAATCCCCAACTCACAGCCTGGGTGGGGAATCCTGGGAAGCTCGACCCAGTGGAGGCCTCAGTTTCCAAATGTGCTCCCTGGGGCCCAAGAGGGCCACCACTGCCAGCTACATCAGCCAGGCCAGGGAGACAGTTCAATCAGTTCAATATTTATTGTGTTCATAGCTGCTCTCAAAGGGACTAAAGAGGGTGCAAACTGAGGAGCCAGAAATCCCAGAGGAGGGAAAAATGAAGGCCACAGCCCAACTGATGCCCAGAATTGGCAGCAGAAGGGGCTGCTCAAGCTTCCTAGGCTGTGGTAGATCAGCTGGTTTCTTTTCTGTGGCTTTGTGGGATTGGAGAGTCTCAGGGGTCTCAAAGGGAGCCAGGCAGCTGGGGAAAGTTGCTACCTCTCTTCAGGAGAGGAAGAGGGGTGTGTGGCAAAGAACCCTTGGGAATTCACACTCTACCCTGGGAGGCTGCTGAGAGCTGTGACCATATCTGTGTCACTGAGCATCCAGGGGCTAGGGTTTGGGAGGGGACACATCTTGGTGCATCAGAGCCCTGAGATTTCCAGGACATGTCCCACTGATGGCAGCAGTTGGTATGAGGTCAGCACTCCCCTGCCAAGTCCACGTGGCATCATTTGCACACATCCTGCCCAGACCCTCCAGGAAAGCCAATGTCCTGAAAAGATGGATTGTGTCTGACCTATTGCCAGGCTTTCTCAGGATGAATGTCCTTGTCAGAGACACACAGCTAAGGTAAAAAGAAGAAGGGCTTTGGGCCTGATGAGTCTGAGGTTCAATCCCAGCTTGGCTCCGTCTCACTGGGCCAGACCCTTTTCCCTTGTGGGCCTTGATTTCCCCATCTAGAACCTGTCCCAAGGAGCCCTGGACCCTGGCCAGAGCTCCTAGTAATATGGAGGAAGAATCAAAGTCCAGCCTGGGGGACAGAGCAGGGAGCTATGTTCAGGGGGGCAAGGGGGAACACATCCAGCATCAGTGAGGGGAGTGGGGATTCCAGCTCACAGCCCAAAGGAGCTGTTGTCAAGGCCTCAGTCAGCAAGAAAACAAATCCTTCTAACACCAGACACAATGAGCCAGCCAGAAATTCCACTCGGAGGTCTCTGCCCAAAAGGACTGAAACTCATGTTCAAAGAAAGCTTGTACAGGAATGGTAACTACAGCACAAACAGCAGCAAAAGGTGGAAACAAGCGATAGCCATCCATGGATGAAAAGACAAATAAAATGTGATCTATCCTTCCCACAGAGTATCATTCAGCCTTGAAAAGGAATGAGGAGTGTGCTTGTAACACACATAAAGATTCTAAGTACGTAAGGTAATGTTTATGTTAATTAGCTTGATTTAGCCATTCTGCAATGCATACATATTTCTAAACAACACATGCTCAATAAATACTGTACATGCAATTTTTATTTGTCAATTAAAATAAATAAACAGTGGCTTGGGAGTATATAGCTCAGGTGTAGCGTTTGCCTACAATGCACAAGGCCTTGAGTTTAATCCCCAGCACTGCAAATAATAGCAAAATCCCTGAGCAAGCACTTTAAAAACTGGAGTAAAGTGTGATATTATTTTTTTTAAAAGAAATGAAATACTGATCTTGCTAGAGCATGGATGACCCTTGAAAACATGATGCTAAGTGAACGAAGCCAAGCACAAAAGGCCACATCCTGAGCAATTCCATTTTTAGGAAAAGTCCAGAATTGGCGAATCCATAGAGACATAAAGTAGATTAGAGGTTTCTAGGAGGTGGGGAAGGAATATAGGGAGTGACTGTTACAGGGAATGGATTTCCATTTGGGATGATGAGACTGTCTGGGGACAGGATGAGGGGTGGAGCACAACATGGCAAATACCCTAAATGCCACTGAACTTGTAGACTTTAAAGGAGGTGATTTTATGTTACATGAATCTTATCTTAAAAAAAAAAAAAGAAGATGAAGAAGAAGAAAATTCACCAGGACTGTGAAACATTCCTAACCCCACACACCCCGTCACACTCTCATACCTTATTCACACACACACACACACACACACACAGTCACAGAGGCACAAGCTTGCCCAGGAAGAGCCTGGGGTGGGGGTGGGAGCAGTGTGGCCATGCTTGGGGGTAGATTCAGCCCTACCAGCCACACTTTATAAATTTTGCATCATCTTGGCTATGAATAGCTTCCTCCGCAGCAAGACAGACAGTTCAAAGCAGGCAGGGGAGGGGTGGGTCACACCCCAAATCCCTGACTCTGAGTCTGTAGCCCTCAGCTCAGGGAGATGGCCTGGTGCACTGGCACATTGGTATGGATAGGAGGGGTGTCTTGTCCACACCCCACATGGCTAGTGGTGTATCCAAGGTGCATGGTGAGGCCACATGGGATCCCCAGCCGAAGCCCAGTACCCCATTAATGCTTCTAAGACCAGGCCTGAAAGGACAGAAAGGTGAGGGGTGGCAAGGATCCAGGTAGCACCAGAGCCCACCTAGAGGCCCCGGCTTCCCTACACAGGTTTAAAGATCACTGGGCGCCCTGAGGGCTGGGGAGGTCACTATCCCACCCAAAGTTACCTATGTCTGTAGGGACTTAGCAGAATACATGAGGTGACTCAGGTAAGCTGAAGGATGGGATATGGGAGTGGAGTCCAGCAAAGGACAGGGAGGATTCAAGGAGGCACATAAGGCTGGCAGTGCTGAGGCAACTTCTACAGCTTTTGAGGCTGGTAGGGGGCCTGGGTTTTCATCCTAGTACCACTTCTTACCAGATCATCACCTTTGTGCCTCAGTTCCCCAGTAGCAACAGTACCCTCATTAGGAACAGACAGCCTTCAATGCTCTCCTTCCGGGAGCTTTGCCTCCAGCAGTTCCTCACCTCTAGGAGGGGTTAAAATGGTAAGAGCAGGTGATAGGCAGGAGGATGAGCCTGGCATTGGAACAGGGCCATGGCGCACCTGGCCCACTGCTGTTGGCCTGTTGGTCAATGAACTGGGTAGAGGCTTCAACCATAAGCAAAGAAAGACATTGCTGGACAGCCCTTATCCACCAAAGGGCATCCCAAGTGTTCAAGGTACTATCCTGTCTCTGCCAGGCCACCACCTGCACCCACTGCTTATGTCCCCAGCTTGGGGATCTCAGGCCATCTCAACCCCCACCCCTAGCCTCAGTGTGCTCTTCTACAAACTGAAGCAAGTGTACTAGCCAACTGGACTGCCATGAAAATCTGCAGGCCCAGACCCTGCAAGTTATTGCCATCATTGCAACAGCTAGCTTTACTAAGCACCTACCACGTGCTGACCATGATTTCACATGCTTTTTAAAAAATTATAATTACTAACACATTAATAGTACAAATTCATGAGTTTCATGTGTAACCCATACATACTATGCATTGATCTTATCCACCTTCCCTTCTGCTACCCTCTCCTGCTCCCACCCCCCAATTCCCAGTCCTTAATAGTCTCCCTTCTATTTTTGTGTCCTCCTTCTCCTCCTCCTCCTCTTCCTTTTGCTCCTCCTTTTCTTCCTTCTGTTTCTATCTATGAAGAAAATATGCAGTACTTATCTTTCTGTACCTGGCTTATTTTACTTAACATGATGTCCTCCAGTTCCATCTATTTTCCTAAAAATGATATGATACCATTTTTTTTATAGCTGAATGATATCTATCTACCCTCATTCATTTAATCTTCAAACTAATCCTAACATTTCATTTTATAGATGGAGAAACCAAGGCCAGAAAGCCGAAGGAAATTGTACACAGAACAAACCCTCACCATCATCACCCCACCTTTAATGGTACCCAGAATTTTGGTGGTGGCTCTTGCATTCAAGTGCTGGAAGACTGGGCTGAGTCATTTCCTCTCCCTGGGCCTTGGTTTCTCTAGCAATGTAGGGTCTGGAGTGCAGAGAGCAACAGCAGGAGCCTAGCTTCTGGCCCTCTTTTTTACTAGCTGGGGAGATAGGCTTTCACCTTGTGCCTCTGATGTGATGGCTTAACCTCTCAGGACCTCTTAGGACTCCTCTCAGGGCAGTGCCAAGCACGTGGTAAGTGCTCAGGAAGTAATAGCTATTCTGTCCTTACTGCTGCTCTTGCCATAAAGTGAGGGGTCTCTCCAATCCCAGATTGAAGGACAAGGATTCCAAATAACCAGGACTGCAGAGGCCTGGAAACAGCCCCAAGGGCAGCTGAGTTCTGCAGCCTGGATAGCTTTAGGAGCCCAGCAGCTCATTCAGTCTCTCTCCTCTATCCCCTTAGCTTCCCACTGTGAGGCCTTCCTCCAAGGGTATCTTTCTCTTTCCTCTGGACAAGTCAGAGGGGACCCTGAGAAAGCAAGGATTTGGGAAATAGGCCTCCCAAAGGGAAAATGTGACTGCTCTGGCCTCTTGCAGGCCTGGATCCTGGACCTATGGCAGTCCAGTCAGCTGGGATACTTTTACATGGCAGTAGAGAGCCAGGACTCTTCATAGACCTGACTACTTATAGCCAGTTCTGTCTCTGCCACTTACAAGCTGTGTGTCCTTAAACAGGTGGCTTTACTCTATGCACCCCAGGCCCCATTTCCAAGACAGTAGGTGATAGCAGAGGTGGTTGTGGAAATTCAGTGCCATGGGCTCCTGAGGCTGGTCAGCTTAGTGGGGCTCCTGGCATTAGACAGTTCTGAGGCCACATCTAGACTCACTGTGTGAGCAAGCCACCTCTCTTTTCTGTGCCTCAGTTTCCTTACCTTCATAAAGGCTTAATAACACCTACCTAGAATATTGTCTTGAGAATGAAAGGAAGTAAACCCAAGAAGATCTCGGCAAGCAGTGCTGTCACTATCTTTCTTGCACTGTTGCCTCTGTTAGGCTGGGGACCAGCCTAGGAAATCAGAGTCCTGGTATTTCCAGAGGGAAGCCTTCCATACATACCATGCTGGTGACAAGCAGCAGTGGAGGATGCGCCTCCCTTCCTCCTGTGACTGACACATGATAAACATCAATAAGGAAAGGAAGGCTATGGGAGCCCTGCCTCAGAGCTCAGCAGCAAAGCAAGGCAGAGCAGGGACGGGAGCAGGTGGCTGTTCCCCACCTGTGGTCACAGGTGTGCTTCCTGGAGACTCCCTCACTGCCTATGTTGGGAGGTTTTGAGCAGGCCAGGCCCAACATCTACACCCACCCTCCCAGCCACTTCCAACATCTACTCCTACCCTCCCAGCCCCCTTTCCTACCAATCTCACCTGCACAAATACACCTGCAGAGTGAAACCTGAGGCACAGACTCACTTGGGAATGTCTCGACCATTGGAGCATCAAGGCCAGCTGACCTGGGATGGATACAAAGAACCAGACATAGATCCCAGTCCCAGCCCTACCTCAGGCTACATGACCTCATGGCCTCTGAGGCTCAGCTAGTAACACAGAGCTGATGAGACCATCATGATCACCCCTGGAGAATAATTAGTGTACAGTCAATGGTAACTCCTGTCCCCTATGGCCACAGGACACTTTATAAAGCCCTTTAGAGTTTGTTCCCTATACTCCACCTCCATGACTTCATTTCTTGGTTATGCCAAGCCTTCCACTGACTTCCAGCACCATAGATGGTTCTACTTGACAAAGCAGAGGCTTCTGGAGGGCAGAAACAGAATCAGATTTCTCTCTATGATCCAAGCAACACCAGCATATGTTGAGATCAATTCTACATAATTTTTGGGAAAAATCATTTCACAATTAAATTACGATTAGGCCTAGTTTTCCTGCCTATAGGCCAGCTATGGCATGTGGAGACATAACTCCATTTTTGCCTCCAGTCACAGCTAAAACTTCAATGATCCCATGATGCTATGACACTCCAGGCAGGATTACATCAGCTGAAGACCTCCTGATTCCTTGAGAACTGAGTAGTAAGAAAAAGGTTTCCCCTGGGGAGGGACAAATTCCTAATTAACATAAATTCCTCATTGACCTGGATCTTTTTTATTTTTTTATTTTTTATTTTGACCTGGGATCTTCATCAGCATAAATTCCTCATTGTCCTAGGATTATCTCCCACCCTCTGAGTCATCTCTTACTCCTGATGTACACAATACAGGTGTGGCAAGCTTGAGATGCCTTTGTCTTTGTTGCCCAGAGCAGCAATGATCAGGTCCAAAGCTCAGCTACTTCTCTGTCTTGTTCCCTGTTTTATTTCATTATTTCACCTTGTGCTATCTTGGCTCACAGGAGACCAGGACTCACTGCAGGGATTCTGGTAATGTCCCCTTTCCCTGTTCCTTACAAGCATAAGGCATGTCATTTCAGGGGAACTCAGAAATACTTATTGATGGAACACAGGATTGTCTTCACCATGTGTAAACTGTCAATATGGCTGCAAGTTCTTTGCAGCAACTTCCATTAAGAGAGGACTCTACTTCCTCCCTTGATCATGTGACTGCAGTACCACGAGGGTGCAGAGGTGATACTGTGATCATTCTAAGACCAGGCAGGTCTCAAGAGGCCTTGCATCTTCCATCCTTGTGCTGGGGCCTCTTCTGCTGCTGTGTCGGCTAGGCTGCTGCTGTGGGTTTGGAGAACATTAGTTATGATGCCATATCTAGTTGATATGCACCACAAGCCCTTTTTACAGATGAAGAGACTGGGGTTTCACTGTGGCACAATTCAAGGGCTCATCTTCATCTAGAAATGCAGCAGTGAATGAAGAGTGCACACCAAGTGCTGGGAGCCCATGACTGATTTTGCCAGCACTTTCAGTTGCATCATTAAAAGTATCATTCATAAAGACGTATTATTGCAGATAAAGCTTGTGCCAAAGGTACCTTCTAAGTGCTCCTGACATTTCATACCAGGTACTCATTGATCAGGCTGCAGCCTGGACCCCACCAGAGAGAGTGAAAGGGCAGCCAACATCAGCCTTCCCCACCATAGACCACAGGGAAGGAGACTTCTGCTCCTCCAGCTGAGGTGGTACAGAGGAGGAACAGAAGAGCACAAAGCCAATCTAGGGTTCCATTCAGCACCTTCAGCCCCCGTTGCTCTGTGGTTTTGGCCCATACCACACCTCTGCAGAGCTGCTCCTTTGTCCTGGCCCACCTTTTGCTCTCTCCTCACCTAGTCCATGGCCAGCTCATGTACCACCCTCAAAGGCTTAGCTAAGTTCATTTCTTTTCTGTCTCTGTGTTAGCCTTCTGATTCCAGGTAGAAATCTACCTACTGCTAGAGGCTTGGGGAACGACATAGCCTGATACTAGAAGCCAAGGGCAGATGCTGGTTTCACACCAACCAACAAAATTGTACTGAGACACCCGCTCTGGCATATGACACAGCTAGGAAAAGGCAGGACAGGATTTGAACTGAGTTGCTCCAGCTCCAGAGCCCAAGCACTTTCTTGACCAGGCAAGTGGTCCTTCAACTCACCACACAACCTTGGTTTGTCCTCAGCTCTGTCCTCAGCTCACCACACAACCTTGGCCATGATATTGAGTGTGTCACAATCTCCTGAGCCTCAGTTTCCCATCCTCAAGCCCTGGCTCATGGCCCAACTCTGACAAGGGGACAGTGGCAAGGATAGTAGTGGTGGTGGTGGTGGGGGTTGAGTCAGTATGACTCAAGCACCCGAGCACGTGAGCCTAGAGTCATCAGCCCTACCTTCACCTAACCACAGACACACGCCATCCTCCTGGCTCCCAGCCAGTGAGGTTAAAAATACACCCAAACCAGGTTTCCATTGACTTGCCCTGTGGTATAGCCAGGCCTGGCAGCGGCTTCTAGCTCACTCTCAAGGCAGCCAGCAGGCTGCCCCACCATCTAGCCAGGGACGTAGCCTCATATTTCTCACCCATGAAGTAGGCTGTCATCATCCCATGGCAGAATTCACGGGAACATCTTCCAGGCATGCATCTGTCATGAGTGTCCCACAGGCACAAGCCTCTGCTGCCAGAGATGGTCAGGCTGAGATGCAGGACAACAGCGGGGACATTAGATGTATGCTGCCATACCAATACCAGTTCCTGAGCCAAAAGACTGAAGTGGAATCAGAACATAGAAGGCCCCAGAGCCATACAGCTCCTAAGGCCAGTGCCTTCTGTTCCCCTTCTGGGAAGGAGTTGGAAGCATGGAGGCTGCAGTCTCTGGTCCTCTTTGCCACCTTCCCCCACACACCTGGTTCCTCACTCACATTCAGGTACTACCTGGAGCAGATGCCTGGTTATCTCCTCCACAGCCATCTCCTTTTTCCCATATAACAGAACCCTGGCCTCACTCATACAGCCCAGCCTCATAACCCTGCTGTCCATCACAGTGTCCATATGCAGCAATTTAAACTTGCACTAATTAATGTTATCTTTCATTCAAATTCACTTCCTCAGTTACAACAGCTACAATTTGACATCTGGCTAGTGGCTGCCATGTTGGACAACACAGATCCAGAACATTTCCATCAGAGCAGAGTTCTCTTGAGTAGCTCAACTCTGGATAATGAATCCTGACTGACCAAAGCAGTCAAGGAATCCCATTCTCCATTGTGAGTGGCTATAGCTGCCTCAGGAAGTACTTCTAAATAATGAAATGGAAGAGGGAGGTGGGGAAAGATGGTCTTCCTGATTCAAAGGCGTAAGTGGGAGAGAAGACTCTGAACACACCTTCTGCTTTTTCACCTCCTTTGAGGGCTGTGAAAGGAAGTGAAAGCTGGAACTAAGGCAGCCATCTTGCAAACTATGGCAATAAGCCTAACCACTAAAACCAACACACAGGAGGATGGAATGAGCCTGGGGCTACAAACAGCTGTGGAATTAACTGTCTCTGAAGTTTTCTTTGTATAAGATAATTAAATGCATTATTATTAATGCACTCTAGTTGAGTGATTCTGTCACCCCCTTCTGAATGTTTTCTGATGGATAAAATATGAAACCATGCTAACACTCAGCTCTCAGTCTTTTGAGTAAGTGTATAACTCCATTTTCCATTGCTGTAACAAAATACCTGAGTAATTTATAAAGAAAGGAAGTTTATTTCACTCACATTTTTAGAAGTTTAAGAGCATGGCACCAACATCTGCTTGGCTCTGGTGAGGGACATTGGCTGTGTCATCACAATGGGAGATGGCATCACAATGGTGGGACCCATGTAGGAACAGTCACATGGCAAGATTAGGAAACCATAAAGAGGGGAGTGTCAGTCTTATTTTTCTATCATAGCCCTCTCACAGAGCTGCCTGAGGTGTCACAAGAATTACATCACTTCTTCTATAGGGCACTACCCTCAATGACCCAAGTACCTCACAAAAGACCACCTCTTAAAGGCTCCACCTCCCAATATCACAACACTGAAGATCAAGTCTCCAACACTCAAACCCCTGCATGATAAACCACAGCAATAAGATGTCCCTTCTCAGTGAAATACCTCCATCTGATCTCTAGCCTAATCTGTCCATATATTAAGGTCCAGATCAGAGGCCACCTTCTTACTCTAAACACTGCCACAAAGCTGAACATGACCATTGTTTTCTCTGATCCAGAATTGGCCCGTCTTCCAGCCACTGGCACCCATGACTAGCAAGATGAAGGCAAGATCTACATGTGTCTTCATGGAGCCATACCCCAGGCCCCAGAAACATGCCTATCAATAGCAGTTGCTCAATTTATATTTGGAAAATAAAATAATAAATGCTTTATTTTAGCATTCCCAAAACAAGTTTACACAAAAGCTTGTGAAATAGAATGAATTTCCCACATTTTTCAGAAATGGAAAATTCAAAGTAGACTGCTTATCTCTACCTCACACCATATACCCAAATAGCCATATACCATTCAGGTAAATTAAAAAGTCAAATGGAGAAGTAAGGAACTAATCTTTTAAATTTCTTTAAAATTCTAGTGGAGAGTTATTCACTTTCAAATACTCCCTACTCATCCAGAGTAGCTATCCTCCATGTCTGCTCTCTCTCTCTCTCTCTCTCTCTCTTTTTCTCTCTCCCCTTTCCCCACCTTTCAATAAATTGTCTTCATTTATTTTAAACTGCTTCTTTAGTTCTTTTACTGATGCTGGGTTTAGGATCGCCAGGAGCTGTATGTCCCAGCAGAGCAGTGTCATAACCCAGCACTTGCTGTCCACTCCTGGACATATAGTGTGGCATAGCAGGGAATGTCGTGCAACCCTCCCCAAACATTACAACTTTTTGAGTACAAGGCCAGCCTGGAATACATAGCGAGACCATGTATCCAAAAACAAAAGAAGAATTGATAACCCAGATTTCATTATTCAGTGCTAAAAAGAAATGAGTTATTGGGCTGGGGATTTAGCTCAGTGGTTTTGCTGCCTGCTGTGCAAGCACAAGGACCTGAGTTTGATCCCTGGTACCAAAAAAAAAAAAAAAAAAAAGAAAGAAAGAAAAAAAGAAATGAGCTATTAAGCCATGAAAAGACATGGAGAAACTTTCAATGTATATTGGTAAAGAAGCCAATCTGAAAAGGCTGCATTTTGTATGATTCTAAATACAGGTATGTTGCATAGAGAAAGGGCAAAATCATGGAGCCAGTAAAAAAGATTAGAGGTGAGGGGGAGGGAAGGATGAAGAGGTAGGGCACAGAGGATTTTTAAGTAATAAAGTTATTCCACATGATGCTATAACATTATGTGTGTATCATTATACATTTTGCTCATGTTCAGAGACTTTTCACGAGACTGAGATTAAGGGCAGTGGACTAGTTAATCTGGCAAAGAAATTTCAAGGCAGTATAATGTTGAGGTGGTAGCATGGCTACTGTTGGGAGCTTTTAGTCAGGTTTGTGTTAAGAATCAAGAGCAAAGAGCCCAGCAGAATGATTTAAAACATTTTGAATTTGGCCAAAAAGAAAGCTCCAATAAAGTGTGGCCTGCAAAGATGGAGCAGAGGAGATCTTGATTTTTGAGAAGGAACAGAAGAATAGACAAGATGGCCTGAGGACATCATAAGAAGCAGCAGGACACCACCCTTTACAGCCTCAAAATTGCAAAAGTGAAAGACTTTTCTATGAGAAGAGAGACCCAGAGCACCATGTTCCAGAATAGTGGCAGCCTAGGGAAATTGTTCCTTGAGATTTGGTTCATAAGCATTGGACCCCTACAAGCAAGAGAGTCTAAAGTCTGGCTACTGCTCCAGCTGGCAGCAGACATTGGCATCATCCACGTGGTGCTGGTTTTAGGTGCATGCAGAATGCAAGAGTTGTGAAGTCAGGAAGGTTTCCACTCAGATTTCAGAAGAAGGCTTGGGAGGCCAGGTAGTGTGCCCCTGAGAGGGCAGTGTGTGAAGCTGTGAGTGTGAAGCTGTAGGTACAGTGGAGACCCTAGAAGTTTGGAGAAGCCAGGACCATGGATTATCTGAGGGAAACTGTAAGAAGGGAGGACAGCCAATCTAAGAGAGAAGCCATGGGGGGCCAAGGATTTAGCTCAGTGGTCTGTCACCTGCTCAAAAGCGCAAGGTCCCAAGTTTGATCCCTGGTACCAAAAGAGAGAGAGAGAAAGGGGGAGAGAGAGAGAGAGAGAGAGAGAGAGAGAGAGAGAGAGAGAGAGAGAGAGAGAGACCATGGAGATTACAATTACCACAAGTGCAATAGGGGTAGAGTCAACCAAGCCCTGTGGAGTTCGCAACTTGCCATAGATTGCCTTGGATGCTGGAAGTGGAACTGTGGGATTTAATGTGTGCCCTACTGGATGTTGGGCTTGCTTTGTTCCCATTCATCACTATCCCCCTGTTTGTAACCTTTGGAATGAAAATGTCTTTCTTGTGCCATTGAATGTTATAAGTATTTAACTTTCTTTTCATTTATACAGGGGCTTATAGCTGAGAATTTGCCTTAAATCTCAGAGGAGACTTTGAACTTGGACTTTTTAGCAATGCTAAAATTGTTAGGACTTTGGCAACTCTTAGAGATGGACTAAATGACTTTTGGGTAAAGGAATGTACATGAGTCTTTGGGTAGCCAGGGGCAGAATGTTATGGTTTGGCTCTAGATGTCTTCCCAAAGCCTTGGGCAGTCATAGCCAGCTTTTTCAGAGGTGGCTGAATCTAGAGTGTGTGGTTGATTCATGGTGCAATGGTAGGATTAAGGGAGGGTGATTACTAAATCAGTTCACTGATTTGTATGGCAACACCCTAATACTGGTAGCCTAGATACAATATAAGGGACAAAAAAGATTTGTCAGGTCCCTTGCTCCCTTGTTGCTTTTGCTATCATGTGGGTGCCATGAACTGTTTCTCCTCTGTGATGCCCCTCTGTCATGTGTCACTCTGCCTTGAAGCCAGCCAGTTATGGACTGAAACTTCTGCAAACTGTGAGCTAAATAAACCTTTCCCCTTTAACTTTGTCTCAGCAATGATGGAAAAGTATCTAATATATCTTCCCAACCACATCTACAATCAATAAAAATGAGGGCCAGCGATGCAGCTCAGTGATGCCACAGCTGTCTGGCAAACACAAGGTCCTGAGTTTGATCCCCAGGACAGAAAAAGAAAAAAAAAGAAAAGAAAAGAAAAATCAAAGTGACCCACATGTTGAAAAATAACAGTTTCTTTGAATTAGTAAAACCGCTAGTAATCATATTTTTTTTCACTTGTCAGCAGATTTATTTTTTAGAAAAGGTGTTCTGGTTCATTCTCCTCAAATCTTTTAATTTTAAATACATCACAATCAGGTCTAACAGTATGTGTCTTTCTTGAATTTTCATGTAGGCTATTATGTCAACATACAGCATTTGAGTTGGGCATGGTAGTGCATGCCCGTAATCCCAGCACTCAGGAGGCTGAGGTAGGAGGATCGCTGCTAGTAATCATATTTCCGAGAAACGGTACTTAAAGTAAAGAAATAAAAAGCAGGTAATTGTTGCACATGATAGCAAGTAGGCTGGTGCAAGAGGACCACATGTTTAAGCCCAGCCTGGTCAATTTGTGAGACCTTAACTCAAAATTTAAAAATACAAAATGGCTGGGGATGAGAGAGGCATGGTGGTGCATGCCTGTATTCCAAGCACTTGGGAGACTGAGGCAGGATGATCATCACGAGTTCAAGGCCAGCCTGGACTACACAGTGAGTTCAAAGCTAGCCTGAACTACATAGCAAGACCTTGCCTCAAAACAACCAAAAAACAAAATAGGCTGGAGATGTAGCTCAGTGTGAGGTCCTAGGTTCAATCCCATGTAACACACACACACACACACACACACACACACACACACACAAGGCCAGTGATACTATGATAGATTGCTAATTGGAATGCAAAATGATACTGCCACTTTGAAAAATCTTCTGACCATTTCTTAAGTTAAATATACATTTATTACACTGTCCAGAAATTCATTTCTCAGTTCTTTACCCAAGAAAAGGAAAAACATGTGACCACACATAACCTGAACATACAGGTTCAAGGCAGTTTTATTCACAATAATGAAAAACTGGAAACAAATGAAGTGTCCACCACTTGCTGAATGGGTAATAAACAAGTTGTAGTACATCTGTACTATGGAATATGACTCAGCAATGAAAAGGAATGAACTTTTGGATCAATCTCAAAAGCATCATATTAAGAGAATGAAGCTCTCAACTCAATGGCTCCGTGTAGCCTGATTCCATTATGGCATTCATTATGCATGGCATTCTGGGAAAGGGAAAACCATAGCAACAGAAAACAAATCTGTGTTTGCTAGGAGGTGGAGTGGGAATAGGGGTTAACTGCACAGGGGCAGAGGGAACTTTCTGGGATGAAGAAAGTGTTTTATATCTTCCTAGTGGTGAGAATTACACAGTTGTCTACATTTATCCAACTGTCACCTGAAATCTGAGTTTTATTTTCCACAAATTATACTTCAATTAAGCTAAATTTTAACATTTTAAAGAAATTTATAAAATAACATGGTTAGTTCTATATAAAAAGAAATACACATTTATGTTGGTCAGGACAAGCTAACATTTCCTTTACTCACATTCTCTTCTCCAACTTTTTTCTCTAGAGCCACACATTGCCAAAGTTATTTGGTTTGCTTTCTAAATTGTCACAGGAGACAGCTTTCCTGAATTGTTTGTCTCTGTATCACCCAAATCTTGGTCTTCCCAGCCTCTAAAATAAATTTCCTAGCCATCTGCCACCATGCTGCCACTAGTGTCACTTACTTTAGGAGC